CCAGTCAATCCCAGTCCGTCCCAGTCCATCCCACTCCATCCCAGTCCCACCCAGTCCATCCCAGTCCCCCCCAGTCCATCCCAGTCCATCCCAGTGTGATGGTGCCGCCCCTCAGGTGAACAATTACCGGGGTCCCGCCCGGGTCCGGGTGTCGTTGGTGACCAAGGACCCCCCCCACCGCCCCCACCCCCACGAGCTGGTGGGCAAAGACTGTCGGGACGGGTTCTACGAGGCAGAGCTGCCCCCCGAGAGGAGCATCCACAGGTGAGACCCCAGACCCAAATTGGGGGGAACCACACCCCAAAATGTGCCCCCCGAGAGGAGCATCCACAGGTGGGACCCCAGACCCAAATCAGGAACCCCAAAATGGGGGACCCCCACCCCAAAACGAGGGACCCCCACCCCAGAACAGGGGGTGGGATCCCCCCACCCTTTGACCCCAGGACCCCCAAATCTCGGGGTCCCTGTCCCAGTGTCCGGGGTGACCCCCCCTGACCCTGGGGTGACCCCCCCTGACCCCCGAGTGACCCCCTGACCCCCCGGTTTTGGGGCAGTTTCCAGAATTTGGGGATCCAGTGTGTGAAGAAGCGGGAGCTGGAGGCGGCCGTGGCCGAGCGGATCCGCACCAACAACAACCCCTTCAACGGTACTGGGAGCACTGGGACGGACTGGGAGGGGGCTGGGAGGGACTGGGAGACACTGGGAGGGGATTGGGAAAGGCTGGGAGAGGGCGGGAGGGACTGGGAGGGGGATTTGGGGGCACTGGGAGGGGCTGGGAGTTATTGGGAGAGGGACTGGGAGAGACTGGGAGGAGGCTGGGGGGCACTGGGAGGGGGATTGGGAGGGACTAGAGGGCACTGGGGGGGAACTGGGAGTTACTGGGAGGGGACTGGAGGAGCAGTGGGGGTGTCTTGGGGCTGCTGGAGATGTCACTGGTTCATACTGGTTCATACTGGTCCGTACTGGGCAGTGCCTGCGGAGCAGCGGGGGGGTGAATACGACCTGGCCGCCGTCCGGCTCTGCTTCCAGGTGTGGGTGAGGGGCCCGGGGGGGCTGCGGCCCCTCCCCCCCCCGTCCTGTCCCACCCCGTCTACGACAACCGTGAGTGGGGACCCCCCCCAGACCCC